AAAAGACAAATGCCGTCTGGAACAGATTCCTTCCATATGTATGCACCAGGTTAATCTTGGCCGTCCCCTGGGCTTTTTGCCGGTCGCAAAAGAAATGAACTTCTCAGTGGACACCACGAACGACAAGAAGGCTGCATTCGGGTGGCTAAGAAGTAACGAACTTTCAGCACAAATACAGTACAAAAAAATACGTAAGGCAGCAGTTAATGCTGTAGCTAAAGCAAAGTTGACTCATGGGAAAAGTTTGGCGAGGCGCTCGAATTTTCAAACCTCAGAGTATTCTGGCAGACCATCGCCGCCTCCGTGATGAAAATATTGGCAATCTCGAGTCCTGACGGACAAGATCAAAGGCCCTTTTACCAAGGAGAAGGATATACATCGGAGATGGTTTGGGAACTTTTAATAACTTCCTAATCCTAAGTAGGAGGAAGGAACCTCGACTGAACTGAATCGAGGGACGGATATTAATCATTCACCAGATACAGTAGCAGAAATTGTAAAACTTTCAAAGGTGACAACGCTACTGGAATCGATGAAATCTGCCCTGAGATGCTCAGAGGTTCTGGTGAACAAGGCATGTTGTAGCTAGCAAGCTTCTGTCAAATTGAAGTTTTTACGGGGAAGAATTCAATAAAATGGAGAATAGGGGTTGTGCTACCCCTGATAAAGAACAGAGATCGTAGGGAATGCTCTAGCTACCGGTGAATTTACGTTACTAAGCCTCTCTAAAAAAGTCTAGGCAAAGGTGTTAAAATGGAAGTGCAGCGAAACAACCGACTCTAAATCGAAGAAAAACTATGCGGCTGTCATTCAGGCCGCAGATCCTTAAGGTAAACTTTCATCTTACGTCAGATTGTTCAGAAATGGTGGGAACTCGCTCATCCGGTTTACATGTGCTTTGTAGACCTGCACAAAGCCCATGACCGCATTCTGTACAACATATTATGGGCATGTCTGCTGAAGCACAGGATTATTCGCTAGCTATTACGAACCACTCAATCACTGTATGC